CTCAACGCTGCTACCAGTGGGACTTGGCCCCTGGCTTACTCTCGTGAATTACAGTATTATCTGGACGGAGTTGCAGGAGGAGGGTTTTGCTGATTTTTTTTTTATATCCAATTTTCCAGTAGGTCGGTGAAGGGATCAGCGGAGTTCGGAAAAGAGCGCATGGGTATAGCCGCACTAAAAGTTACTATATGATATTATATATCGTCACATGAATATCAGAGCGCCAGAGCGAAAAAAAAACAGAAAGAAAACAAGAAAAAAAATAGTTCGTTTTTTTTTAATCTTCTTTCTTACAAGACTCCCCCTGTTCAGAACCTCTTGCGTACAAGGCCGCCCACGTGGATGTAGGTTGAGCTGAGCGGCGGCTGCCCCCACCCCCGTGTGTCATATCGACGCACTTGCACACAGCCAAAGGGCAAAGGAGGCAAAGAAAACTTGCACACAGCCAAAGGGCAAAGGAGGCAAAGAAAACTTGCACACAGCCAAAGGGCAAAGGAGGCAAAGAAAAGAGGAAGGGAACAGCCAGTGAAACTCCCACGAAACAGTTTGTCCCAGCCCCTCGTTTGTTGTCCTCTTCTCCTCTTCTCCTTCTCCCTCTCTCCCTACCTACGGTTCACCGTCGGCAGCTCTGTTTGACTGTGTAGTCTGTATATATATTACATGTATCGTCAAACATCGTCAAACAGAGCCGCTGACGGTAAACCGTAGGTAGGGAGAGAGGGAGGGAGAAGAGGAGAAGAGGACAACAAACGAGGGAGGGAGGGGCTGTGACAAACTGTTTCGTTGGAGTTTCACCTACCTACTCATCAATCAGTAGAGGCTGAACCCTCATTAAACAGTCTGTAGCGGCTGAACCCTCATTAAACAGTCTGCAGAATCCCCTAAATGATTACATTGTTACTTGTAAGTGATAATCTACCTTAACCCCGGCGGTGGTTAACCATCGACGACTGCCCAGCAATATATTTTCAAATGGGGAGTAGCATGCGTGAGTATCTATTTTAACCTCTTCTGACTTGCTGGTGGAATAGGAACCGGACTGACACGCTGTTGTTTCCAAAAAAAAAAAAAAAAAAAAACACAAAAAAAAAACGGACTGCTGGTCCCTAAAGAATGGAAAGCAGGTAGAACCGGAAGGTTCTGTTTAAGCTGCTGGCTATTGCTACACTTTTTCTATTCGATATCAGTCTGCTATAGCTCGATTTTGACCGCGATATCAGAAGATTCCATGCGTCTAAAGACTGTAAACTTCTCTCTATAGTTCGATTTTGACCGCGATTTCAGAAGTGGCTATTCTGCAGACTCCGAGGTGTTTCTGTGTCTGAGGCAAGAACTCCGCCTTCCCGCTTCAAGCAATGAATCACTTTGCTAAGTTGCTACACTCGCTTGTCACTGGTGGCACAAAATATTACAAGTGGATCTAGCTGCAAATGCAAATGAGAGTCTGTTGACAGAGCCTGGCTTTTGAATTCTGACTGCCGTAAGTGTATGGTCATAACTGCAGACTTTTGGAAGAGAGTCAAACTTGCCTTTTTTTTTTTTTTTTGGGTTGTTTTTTCTCATTGGTGGCACAAATTACATGCTGTTTTTTTATTTTTTTATTTTTTTTATGTTGGTTTCCTGTGATTATTCATTGTATTTTTATTGAATTGAATTGAATTCGAAGTTGGAACCAATAAATAAATAGGGGTGCGCGTCTGTTGACAGAGCCTGGCATTTGAATTCTGAGGGGGCCAGTAAATAATAATTGTGTATCATGGTCATAACTGCAGAGACTAGTGGGAGGGAGCCACTGAACTGGCGGGTTTCCTGTTTTGGAAAATCCCGTGGTTTGCTGTTGCTCGGTGAAATTGTCTGTGGCAATGGTGGATGCAAGCACCGGGAGGGCAGAGCATTGCGATGACCGGTCCCGGAGAGAAGGATGCGTGTTTTGCGACATTGTAAACGGGCGGCAAGAGGGCCGAACC